TGTCCCAGCCTTTGGCCTTTCTTCTCTGCCTTAGCAGAGACCCTGGGTCATGGATCCTATCTGGTGTTGTTTTTCCTGTTTGAAGCCCCAGATATCCTCCTCGATGCTGGCTTAAGATAGAGCCGGCCGAGAAGTCCACAGAGGAAAGCCCCTGAGTGGCGTGGATGCAGATGGAGCTCTTTGGGTCGGGGTCTTCCCCGGGCACCCTGCTGCTGCCTCTGTGCATAGGCTTTCCCAGAAGTGCACTCTAGTCTAGGTTCTAATCACCACAGTTGGTTTTGAAGATCCCTCTTTGCTGCCTTTAGGCAGAAGAGTCCTTGGCCTGAAGCTACCAGGCTGGCATGTCCTGGAGCACTTGGCCACGTGGTGTTTCTGGGTGCCTGGTTCATCCCCTGCTGCCATCAGGGATCTGGGCAGTGTCAGGAGGAGGAGGGCCCTTGTCAAGCAGAAGGGACTTGAGAGTCAATGGGTGTGATGAGTGGGCATCACCATGTTGTCTGTCACAGACAGTGTTTTCCTGGGCCTCTTCCTGCCTCAGCTTTCTGTCGCCTCCCAAGAGTAAAGATCAGCTTACTAGTTATAAGTCTCCCCTGCTGGTGGTCCCAGGCAGTTAGGCCATCCTCTCAAGGACATAACAAGGCCTTGTCACCTGGCATCTGTGAATTGTGGTGCACTTGAGCTATCCAGAGACCAGCAAGGCACACAAGATCTGTGCTGGGCTGTGTCCTCCTTGTACCTGAGGGCGCTCCTGCTGGAGAAGCCACCACTTGCTTAGGTGCCCGGGGCCCATGTTTGCATTTGGCTCTACCAGGAGTAGCTCTCTGAGCTAGTCTTTCTGGTGATGGTGACTCCCCTAGGGGGTTGTGAGGCTCAGTGCAGTCACCTCTGTGGAGCCTGTGGATGGTGCTGATGTGGGGTGCAAATTTCTAGCTAGTCCTTGTCATCGCTGGCACTGTGTCCTACTGTCACTTTTTGAGGTAACTGGGAAGAACAATTTCTGGGAGACTTAAGGACATGGCAGGGCTAAGTTTTCCAGGGGGCTCCGTGGGGCAGGATATCTCCTGTGTGTGGCCAGTGGTGATGGTCGGTCAGGTTGGGCGATGGGGGCATCTGGGAGGTTGAGGTGACGGAATTTGCCACGGATCTGTGTGGGTGAGAGAGCGCATTGGGACGGCTGGTTCTGACCCGCCCTTGAACTGACCGTGGCCTCAGCTGTGTGTTCCCAGCAAGTCTCCTGCTCGTCCTGACCGCCTGCTCTTGGCACAAGGGGCCCCTGAGGTTGACAGTGACATGTGCAGAGGCCTTGTCATGTCCATTCAGCTTTGGCGCCACTTGATGTAAATGGGCTTTGGCAGAAGGCGTAGAACCAGCCTGTGTCTAATGGGCTATCTCCACGTGTTCTGCAGTGGCAGCCCGCCATGCCTGTCTGTTCCAGGGCTGTGACGGGGCATGCACTAGGAGCTCTGGGTGGCACTGGGTCCTTCATCATGGGCTTCGTGGCCACCCTCTCCAGGAAGCTAGGGGCGCTCTGGCTGGCAGTAGGGAAGCCGTGTGATCCATCTGTGTCCTGCTCCTGTCCCCATCCACCCTTTGTGCATCCCATCTGGTGCTGGTCCCAAGAGTGTCTCCTGCAGCCCCAGATGATACCTGGGGCACACAGTGCACATGCACCACAGAGGCTGTGGGCCCTGGCCCAGCCCTGTACCAGGGGACAGCCTGGCCCTGACCCAGTCCTGTACCAGGCCAAGGAGGAGGTCGGGGTGCCCCGACTTTGTAGTTGGACAGGAGTGTGGGTAACCTGAGGGGGCAATACTCATGGCGTCTGAAGTGGGGAGGACCAAGCCTTCAACCTGCAGGGCTGCACTGACTCTGGGTAGTTAGCATGAGAACAGAGCTGAACTGCAGATGACCAGGGGATATCAGAGCTGGAGACAGGTTGCTGAGAAGGTCCCCTCGCTTCTGCTGTCAGGAGGCAAGAAACCTAAAACCAGGCCCTAGATGAGGCCTGGCAGCTGCCTACATCTGGATTTCCTGCTAGCTAGGGAACAACGTGCCAGCTGCTAAAACCGCCCCAAGAGCTTTGTAACCTGCCGTCAAGGGCGCCAGGCCGTGGGAACAATCCCCACAGGCCCTCCTGGAGGGCACGAGTCCAGGCACATACGCTTCTGCCCCAGGGACCAGGTCTCTACACGATGATGAGGTCACAGGGAGCCCATACCCTGCTGGGAAGACGAGAAACCTCCTGATCCAAGGAGGGACCCCACAACAGGAGGCCGACCCCCAGACCCCATGGCAGTTTAGCACACTGTCAGAACAATGGACAGTGATGCCTCAACGGAAGCTCATGGCAAGTGATAGAAACGTGGGGCAAGCCCTACCCTCAAATCCCTGCTCCCCCATCTCATCCCAGACCAGGACCAACCACACAGTGAAGCACAGCCATCCCCCAGAGAGCCAGGAGGGCACACGCTCTCACTCGCCCCTAACTCCCCAAAGCAAATACATCCTCATAAGTGCCCTGGGCAGCCAGGCTTACCTGCTGGTGATGGTGCTGTTCTTGTCCTTCAAGGCAAGCTCCCTCTGCTGCAGCTCCACCACGAATCTGGAAAGGTCTGCCGGAGTCCTGCAGGATAAAGAAGGCACACTCAGTCCCAGCTGTTCCCTGGAAGTCAACCTGATTCTGCATTGGAAACAGAAGGCCAAAAGCAACCTCTGTAGCTGATGCTCTGGGACCCAGGATGTGCGAACCCTGCAGACCCAAGTCCACGGTAGCGTGCACTCACTATGACCTGGGGTCAGCCACAGCCCCCACCCCTATGCAACGCCAGGAGATTACCTTAATGAGCCCTGATTTTATTTCACCTGTTGAAACAGAGACACCACCTAACAGGGTCACTCCTCGGAGGAAATGAAATCATGTTTAAAAAGCACCCACCAGGCGCCTGGCTCTGGGGAGGTGTTCAGCGAGTTTTAGGTTCCTTTTCTCATCTCTCCTTCAGAAGACCCACATATAACAACAAGAATAAAATCAGAGATCCCCAGGTGTAGCACTTTATACTTTCCAGAACGATTCTAGATTCTTAGTGAATGCCCGAGCAGCCCTGTTGTTCACTATTTTCAACTTTTTAAATGAGGAAGCTCAGACTCCAACATGAAACAGCCACTTCGAAGTTCAAAGTGCACCCCGATGATCAGCAGCAGCTGAGCTGGACCGGAGCAATATCTTCTAACTCAACACTGGGACTCAGGAGGACACACCAAGGATCTGAGCCATACATACAAAGTGAGGCCAGTGTTGTGTGAGCGTTCCCAGCCTCACAACCAGGGACACAAAAGCCAAGGCTCCCTGGCTAGACTGATCAAGTGGCATGTGAGCTCGAGCCCTGAGGCAGTGCCTTGTTTTTCTCTTCACCTGTCATGGACCACACACAGGTCCACACAGAAAGCAGGTGCCGGGCAATGCTGTGAGAGCTCCACCCAGCACCACGCTGGAAGCTGGCACTGCATCACTGAATGAGCAACAGGGATCCAGACACTGGCCAAGGAGGCCACCTGCACCCCTGGAAGGAAAGGTCCCAGTCACTATGTCAGCCAGGCCCCCAGGGCAGCCTCGGATGGATCTCCCTTCCAGGTCCCCTCAGAGAGGCCTCCTCTGCCCACCCAAGGAATAGGCCCCTTGCTGGATGTCTAGTGGGGACAGCAATGGGTGTAGAAGGAGGAGCTGGCACTGGGAAACCCCACCTATCCTCCCACACAGGCAAACTGGGGGTTAGAAAGCAGCTCCATGGGAAAATAATTTATGACAGAAAGGTCTTCAAAAACAAACTCAACTCTAAGAAGGTAATGAAAGGTGAAACTGGCCTTGAACATGGTTACCATTCTCTCCAGAGTTTCCCAAAGCTTCCAACCTCGGGGAGCTAAAATTATCAGTACAAAAGAAAGGAAACCTTTCGAAGCCAAGAGATATTTTTTCTGAAACATTTGAATGAGATATTTAAATTGTTTTGCGTTAGTCAAAGGGGCCTGTAAATTTGCACTAACTCAGTGGGAAGAATTTATTTATAACAAATACAAATCAAGTACCTATGTCCACATGTGCAACGGCACCTCCTAGCCCCTGTGCTCAGAACCAGCAGCAGGTGGGGTGATCAAAGGCAGCAGGCTACAGGCTCCGCCAAACCACCAAGACCACCCTGTCTCACACCCCTCAAAGCCCCCACATGTCCCCTGACCTGAAACAGCAGGAGGCCAGTGGAGGGGCATCCGCCAGGCAACACCAGGCCCCAGGGTTCTCCCGGCTAGGATGGCTGTCTCACCAGAGGGCACACTGCCTCTACCTCCCTCTGCGGGGAAGCCTCCCTGCAGCCTGCAGAGCAGAAGGCAGAGTCGAGAGCACTTGATGCTGATTTAGAAACAGGCTCCTTGCCCCTAGGAACGAACCTACCCAGCAAAGCTGGGAGCTGGACCACACTCT